GGAAGGAAGGAAGGAAGGAAAGAAAGAAAGAAAGAAAGAAAGAAAGAAAGAAAGAAAGAAAGAAAGAAAGAAAGAAAGAAAATCCTAATATTTTGTTTGTTATCTTTTTATCTTTAGGTCCTGCAATGAGAAAGATAGTGTCTATTCTAAATCCCATTTACTGGACAATAGCAAAAGAAATAGGAGAAGCAGTCAATGGATTTACCCTAACCAATGCAATCTTTAAAAGAGAAACTCAGGTGGAATTTGCAACTGGTCAGTATCAGTTAAACTTAATATGGTGTACATAGAACACAGTGATGGCTATAGAAGTTGGTGGTTATATAAGTTCACATGGAGAATCATTACAAAATGGTTGATGTAAATCAATGATCAGAAATTATATAAAAACAACTTTGTGTTTTCCTGTACTTACATGAAATCTATAAAGCTAAGTGTTCTCAAGAATTATAGTGATTTTTATAATGCAGTTTTTTCCACCTCCTTCTTGGATCTTTTCTCTTTAAATCCATAAGGAGGGTTTTAAAGTCAGAGAGGAAAATTGAGCCATAACTATTAAATGAAGACCGTTATCTTCAACTAGTGATCCAATTAGGACAAATGGTAGTGATTCTTTATGATAAAGATGGAAATAAAACCAAACAAATCCAAAGTCTTTTCACTTTATTGCTCATTATCCGTAACTCTACACAACCCTTTTAAGGTCTTGCAAGTTTTTACAGAGTACCACCTTAGACCTCTTCAAAATGGGTCAGGCTCAATGATGGTGACCTTCAGGGAGGCAGAGCTGATTGAAGGTGGATCTTTAATCAGCATTCAATCAGCCCAGAAGGCAAGAGGGGGCTTTTTATGGTCATCACTTACTAAAAGAAAGAACATACCTTGTGGAGGGATTTCTGTTCTTCTTCTGTCTGCCTGACACAGCCCAGGGTCCCTTCTCATTGCCAATTCATTTCTTTTTGCATTGTCTTTTGATTGCCTGGGAGTTAAAGTGTGAGATCCTTTCCACAATAATGTGCTACATATTGCCACATAAAAAGAGATCTTAGTAGAAACATAACCAAATAAGCTCCACTCTTTCAACCGGAAGGCTAAGTGAAATTTCTTTCTTTTATCTATGTTTATTCAAGTTTGAGTTAAATTAGCATAGCTGAACTGTTACAGATTGTAAACCTGCTCTGTGTTCATGCAAACCATACATATGTGTGATTTTGAGGAGAGTTTTGAGTTTTTTGTGTGACAGTGAATGCACTGTACTCCCCAGGAGAAATCTTGCGCATGACTCATATTGCACGGGGCTTGGATTCTGATGGTGTTTTGCTGCTAGATATCGTTGTGAGTGGCTATGTCCTGCAGCTTCTGTCACCTGCTGAAGTAAATGTTAAGGTAAAATGCTGAGAATTCTGGCTTCCCTGTGGATTAAAAGAATGTTTTTGAGTCAGAGATCCATAGAAAGAGTGCAGAGAACTTGTATAGTGTCCCTAGTGCACTTTGGAGAATAAATGTCTAAACAACTGAGGTTATAAATGGTTATGATTATGTGGTCTTCATTTAAAAATCTGCAGGGAAAGTGCTTGCAAACTTTGAGTGCTTTTATTACCCTGTTTACAGGGGCCAAGATCAGTGCCATTTTGATTTAGTTATTTGCTTGGTTTTCTACAGACAAAGAAAATAGTTAAGTTTTGAGGTACCATCCATGAAAGAATTCAGACCTCAAAGCATGATAATAATCATCTTTATACATATTGTCTTATCCTTGCCCTACAACTTCCTCTACTGAACTTTAATTTATGGTGGTAAATTATAGAACTAACATAGTTGTGATTAAAAGGTCTAAACTTTTAGTTATTTCATGGATTCTGCTATGCAATTACTGTTTTATTTAGAACTCTATGCTTTTACCCCAAAGCCATTTTTTTTACCATTTTGCATCTCATTATATTTTTAAGAAAAAAAATAGTATGAGCCATATAGATCTTCAACTTGCAATTCTTCTTCTTAGGATTACACAGAGGACTACATTCAAACAGGTCCTGGGCAGCTCTATGCCTACTCAACTAGGATGTTCACCATTGATGGCATCAGTGTCCCATACACATGGAATCACACTGTCTTCTATGACGAGGCGCAGGGAAGAATGCCTTTCTTGGTAGAAACACTTCATGCATCCTCTGTGGAGTCTGACTATAACCAGTTAGAAGAGACTTTGGGTTTTAAAATCCATGCTTCAATTTCTAAAGGTAATTTTACTTTTTAAAAAATTGCATATTTTATGCCATCTAATTCATAACAGAGTAAAATGAATTGCACAGATGCTGTTTCATTTAAGTTAAGTATATTGACACGAAGCTGTAGTAGTATCAGATTCTCTACCTGTGTTGTCTGTGTTTTGCTGTAGGTTCATTCCCGTGTGAAAGCCAAAGTTCCAGTACCCTTAGTTTAAGAATATGCTTCTTCACGCTGTGTAGTAAATGGCATTCTACTCTGTATACTTCTAAGTTAAAAGGTTAAAAATATGTAATCTGTCATAATGATTTTCCTCTGGTTCTAAAGTCTATGTTCTACCACTAAGCCTTATATTTATCAAGGAACTTTTAAAATTCTGGAAGCATAATGTAAAGGTGTGTCTCAATATAAAATAATAAAGAAAAAGTCTCTGGCTTAAAAAAAAAAAGCAGCTCTTAAAATCTATAAAATAATCATCAAAAGAAAAACTATCATTTTTCATTCCTGAAAATTACATTTTCCATTTTCCAAGCACAATTCCAAAACTTCTGCTTAAGCAGCCCTCCCATGCTGTGTGGTTCTTCAATTTGACTCTTCCCTGAGATTTCCTTTTCAGTCACTAGAGCCACACTCACCGTCTGTGTCTCTTAGTCTATGGGGGTTTGATGGTAGGAGATACTTGTGTGTAGTTATGTTACAGACACTAAATGCTTGTGTCACTTCAGCTTTGAACTTTATTGAAAAGAGTACACACTAACCTTGTTTGTGTGGTGTTATGGGCTTGCTATTCAACAGTGAATCCGAAGAGGTTTTAGGCAGCATCGTTTTCTCCTGTTATATTTAATAAAATATCTTATGATAATGATAGAACTGTGTAGACCCAGATCACCGCCCTTCCTCAGCTCACTCCATCACCATCTCCTACTTTACTCTCCTCTTGCATGTTCTGTCCACGTGGGCAGAACTGTTGAAAAGAGCTATTGACGTGAAGAGATGTATTTTCTCTTTCTCCTTAAGCTTGCATATTTATTCTAGCCTCTGTTTCTACCTTTCCAGTACACTGTCTTAATATGTAAAGGTAACTAGACCATCAACTTTTGATTTTAAATTAATTTATGCTGTGCTAGCAGGGCTAGGTAAATTAAAATGATTTTTAAAAGTCATGTGTGCTTTCTACTCAGGCAATCATGTAGATTATGTCAACTTGAACCTACTAGATTATAAGGATGTTCTTGTGGCATCTGTAAGGATGTTGTTGGTTGAACTGGTCCCATAATAAAGAAACACGCTTGAGGCCTTTAAGGCCTCTTATTATCTTTGGATAATACAATTCTGTGAATTACATCTATGACCATTTGATGAGAACAATAGTGCTGAGAATTTCAAGAACTGTGTACCTGCAATGGATTTTGTAATGACCAGCAGGGGGCAAGCTTGCTTTCTTGGTAGTTTAAAGAACAACAGCTTCTCCTAGAAGCCTGTCCTAAGAAAATGGAGAGAGAGAGAGAGAGAGAGAGAGAGAGAGAGAGAGAGAGAGAGAGA